CCAGTTTAACAAAAACACGGATAAAGTTATATCTGCAGTTCCTAAAGCATATTTGCTGCTCTGTTATATAAAAAGAGAAGTTAGTGCAATATATCAATTATTCTGAACTGAATTAGAAGTAACATATTCTCGGGCGGACATCCGGGCAACCATCACGGTCAAAACAAAGGCCGAAAATTCTCAGAAAACGGTACTTTGGGATGGTTGTTGAGACTTCCCTGAACAGTGTAGCAAGATTACCCCTGAGTGTGCAAAACATATATAAATTTGATTGTTCAGGATTATTGTTGAGTTTTTGTTGTTTCTCAAATTTAGCTATTTTCACCGGATCATCAACCGGCGTTCCACAGCTCTTCGCGCAGAGCCCATAGAAAAAAAAGGTACAGTGGTGTGCAACTTGAAACGTCTTGTGACGTACAATGTAGCTCTGCCTCAAGGTTAGGTTGTTGTTTAGATTAGATGGAAAACATCATAATCCAGCAGATACTTTTTGCAACCAAATCAGTAAATTTATAATTAAATTATCTAATTTGAGTTAAAAATATGCAAAACCTAACAAAGAGCAAATTGGAAAAAATATATCTTACACACTCGATCATTGTTCAATAGAAATGATTGCTTGACTAGGTAAAAATCAGAATTGTGGCGAGTAGCAAATAAAATTGTAATTGTTTTAGTTTACCTGAGTAATAACTGCATCATATTTAGGTAAAGTCTTGACTGCTTCATGGATCAGATTTCCAAAAGGTGGATGACGATTTACAATCTTGTAAAAAAAAAAACAATATACTATTTGAACATTTTTGAAATTTGTCTGTACATAATCAATTGTCAGTCATTTTAGTTAAACATAATTAATTACAGGTAGTTAATGTCCAACAGACAAGCACAATTGTTTAAAATTGATAATTTTACAGTAATTGCTCTTAAAGCGCCCATCAAATAGAGGTACATGTGATCTTTTCAAAAAGGTTATTTACATGTATTTATATATGGTAAGCATATCAGTATTCAGTCCTTACCAATTCAATTTCTCTTGGGTTAGTTTCTTCAATACTTTTGAATGTAGTGAGTCCAGCATTTACCATTGCTTGAGTTAATGTTGGTCCTACTTTTTCCAATTGTCTTGCAATATATCCAGAATTTTCCCATAGCTTTGCTTTAAAGCATTTGCTAAGTAGAACAGAATTTACAGCTGCATGGAAATCACTCTTCTGCATGAAGTACTCGGTCAAACCTACACAGTCATGCACAACAAGTGTTTAGAGTCACAATAATTTGCTATATTTGCTACAATTTGAAACCAGAGTGACAATCACAAAATTTTATAATTTTACTTTGGTTTTTTGCTCTATTGTTCCACTTTTTGATATGAATCTTTTTATTATCTCATTGTTCTGGAACTGATCAGGAAATGGATCTGGACATAATTGACAAACTGTAATTTGACAACCAAAGTTACATTGTATGTAATGAGATGACTAATACACACACAAGATGGAGGATGGCAACACAAAGTTTAGTCCAGTATAATTGGTGTATTGTATAATAATCTACTCACACCTAGTAACTCTCTGTCCAGCTCTGAAGATTTTGTTGGTGTCCTGTGCCAAAGCAAAATCTTGGACTGGTAGACATCCAAACGCTGCTTGAATAAGGCTGGCAATGAAGAATTACCATGTATGATATATAAAAGAAATATCTACAAATTATAATGTTGGTTTAGTATGAAACTAAAGCCTAAAGTGTTAATTGAGGCAGGTAAATTATAATGCCTGTTCTACACAACTAAAGTTGTCACCAGCCAGATAATATGTTACATTATTATACATCTGTCACAGTATCGCCATAAGTTGCAGCATGCCGTAATTTTGAAGTATTTCACAGGGTATTTTCATCCTACCATATTAGGAAATGCGAATTTCAAATATGGAATGATTACGTGCGTAAACATTCTCTAATAATAAACAAACATGGCTGCCAACAAGGTTTCACCAGACTCCATACAAAGATTTTTTGTTTGGGTTTCGGCATTCCCATGATGTATCCTTGGAAGGAAAAGATATATAATAATAAGGTTATTACGAGGATATCGTACACAGACTGTACGCCGTCGCATCAACCGACGCACAGCATATGTCTTTGTGCATACTTTTCTGTATCCTCGTAATAACCTCATAGTATGAATTATTATATTCATGACCAAATGACCAATTCAAATGAACATACCAGTTAACTTTCATTGCAGCAGTTTTGATTTTTCCAACCATAGGGAACCTTATGGTTGCTTTATTCTTAGATGAATTCAAAGCATTCAAAGCTCTTTTCTCACTTACTCTCAACTGAATATCTCTGAACTCCTTACAATTGGACACATTGTCTACCTGTTAGTGAGAACACAAATGATATATAATTTGTCAAAAATAAAGAACAGTGGATAATTTATAATCATTGATAAAAGATTTCCCTTTATACTAGAGGTCTATTTAAAAGTGAGTTTAATATCTCAAAGCACTGTAACAACCATACACACATAGCAACGTTAAAAGCATTCAATTTTGGTAATGATTTTATTAATTGGGTATCAGTATTTTACAAAAATGTTACGTCTTGTGTTATGAACCATGGTAGGTCAACTGGCTACTTCCCAGTGGCTAGAGGGGTTCGCCAAGGTGACCCCTTATCACCTTATTTATTTGTCACTGTTATTGAATTGTTAGCCATTAGAGAAAACCCAACTATAGAAGGTATCTCTTTTTTTTTTTTTAAAGAAGACATTTAAATTTGTAATATACGCAGACGATATATCATGTTTAGTTCATCCATCCTCAATACAAAGTACTTTTTTATGGTCAATAATTTTGGTAAATGCTCTGGGTTAAGGTTAAATAGGGACAAAACAGAAGCACTTTTGATGGGTTATGGCCACAAACCGAAAGATAAAGAGGATATTAAAATGTCAGATGGGTTAAGGATTCTGGTTATTTTTGTAACTTATAATGAGAAGCTATTCATTTCTGAGAATTTCAATTTAATATTGACAAAATTAAAACAATTATGTGGCTTGTGGTCTCTGAGGGGGTTATCAGTTATTGACAAAATTCAGATTTTAAAAATACTTGGTATCCCTAAATTTGTGTATGTTCCGACAATGATCTCAACCCCTAAAGCAATTATAAAGGCAATTAAAAAAATTTCATTTAATTTTATTTGGAAAGGTTGTGACCGGGTTAAAAGAACCTCTTTAATTGCGGGTATAGAGGATGGAGGCCTGAACATGGTAGAAATTGAATCTTTCCTAATAGCACAAAAAATGAAATGCGTTCTAAGACTGTCAGAATCAGCTGGTTGGTGAAACATTATAGAACCACTACTAATTATTAAAGGGAGTAGACATGTATTATCTTGTAATTTTGATGTAGAAAGTTTGGTAGATAATTTACCACCATTTTATGGTTCAATTTAATGCACCATTCCCCCAATTCTGTGTATGGAATTGACAATCAAGCATTGTGGAACAACTGCTTTATAAAAATTGCAAACAAACCAGTTTATTTTAAATCTCTGGCAAATCGAGGCATTGGTCGCATTATTGACTTAATTGATCAGAAGGGGAGTTTTCATAATTGGCAGTATTGGAATATGAAGGGTATTACACAGATTGAATTCATTCAAATAAAAGGTCTTATAGCAGCTACACCTAAAGATTGGAAGCAAATTATTTTTAACTCAAGACATACCTGGTTTGAACCTGATTATAATAGTATTTTTTGGGAAGGAGAGTACATTAATATTAAATCCTTAACAATTAAAATAATTTACAAAAAAATATGTAAACAAATAATTGAGCCATCCTCGATAGTGCAAACATTTAGGAACTCTTATGATATCTCAGCAGAACATATTCCCGTCATCTTTAAATTACCATTCATAACTACTATATCAAGTGCTCTGAGAGAATTTCAGTACCAAATTCTTCACAATTGCCTTGTTACAAACAGTAAGTTGTATAAATGGAAATTAGTTACATCATCTTCATGCTCTTTTTGTCATGTTAATGACGAAACCTTACATCACTTGTTTGTAGGTTGTCATTTTGTGCAAGAATTATGGGAATTGGTGCAAGAACAGTTTGAAGTAATTAGACATATAAGTTGTAACTACAAAAACATCATTTTTGGAATATACAACTCACCAAAAAACAAAATGCTAAATCATATCATAATTTTATTCAAATGGTTTATTTATTTCTGTAGAACAAAAAACAAAAGGTTGTCATATTTTGCATTTAAGATATTTGTTCTTTCCAATAGACAAGTTGAATATGAAATTGCAAAAAGAAATAATAAGGTCAACTTACATTTTGAAAAATGGGAGCAAGTTGAAAACTGGCTTAGTAATTAAACACTGTATTTGTACACCAGATCATCTTTTGTTTTTGTATTTCCTTTTGTAAGTTTGTTTTTGTGTATGTAATTACTTTTTTCGTATAATAAAAAAAAAAAAACATACACACATATGTGTACGGTATAATGAATGATAACTTCTTAGATAGTTTTATTCAAGACAGAGCATCGCATGACTTCATCAGTTGAAGTCATAAATTCATAAAATCATAAATTGAGTTTACAGACATTTAGAAGATAAAATATACTTCTGTTTCACTATTTAGACTGATAGACTGACAATTGAATTCAAAGAGAAACAAGCCATGCATGGCACAGTCCCCGTTAGTTATTAAATTTAAGATATAAAGTTTTGTTTATAGTAATATAGCAGGAATATGTCAGGAATATGATTATGATGATTGTTTAACATTTAAATGATTGACATTTGTATCTGATCGTCAAACGAGTATTGAGAGATATTGCTCTGGAACAGCATTAATTAAAACAAAATCAGCCATTTTGAATACATGTACATGTATAATGAATATATAAAATTTGAACATAGTCAGTCAAAGCACGTCAGAGATATGGCTCTAGAAGCCCATTCATTAAAACACAAGCCATGCATGGCACAGTCCCCGTTAGTTATCAAATTTAAGATATATAGTTTTGTTTATAGTAATATAGCTGGAATATAACCATGTCAGGAATATGATTTTTTAACATTAAAATGATTTGTATCTGATCGTCAAACAAGTACTTGTCCATATTGAGAGATATTGCTCTGGAACAGCATTCAAAATCAGCCATTTTGAATACATGTGTATATACATGTATAACATGATGTATAACGAATATATGAAATTTAAATATAATAAGTCAAAGCATTCAAGAGATATGGCTCTAGAAGCCCAATTATTAAAACAAAATGGCCGCCAGTCAGCCATTTTGAATCCAATCTGAAAAATAAAAATCCACCCACAAATGCTTGATATTTGATGATTTTTTAGCACAAAAATGACCACCATTCGGCCATTTTGAATAGGATAGTCAAACCAATATATCTGTTTATTTATGACATGATGTATAATGAATATTTAAAATTTGAAAATATTATCAGTCAAAACAAGTCGGAGATATGGGTTTAGAAGCCCATTCATTAAAACAAAATGGCAGCCACACAGCCATTTTGAATCCGATCTGAAAAATAAATAATGTTTAACATTTAAATGATTGACATTTGTATCTGATCGTCAAACGAGTATTGAGAGATATTGCTCTGGAACAGCATTAATTAAAACAAAATCAGCCATTTTGAATACATGTACATGTATAA